TTTCTATCTCTAAATCTTTCTCCATCCTTTTCTTTCGCTCACGTGTAAATCCCCTACCCCCACTCTTCCTATATGGCACTCCACTCCAATGCCGTTCCTCTGGCAATTCCTAGGCGTCATTTTTGACTCCAAACTGACCTGGCGAGACCATATTCTACACATTAAAGAAAAAGCTCTCCGCCGCCTTCGAATTTTAAAAACTCTATCCCATATATCATGGGGCTCAGATCGCAAAACTCTTCTTCATCTTCATGTTACTTTGATCCTCTCCACTCTTGATTATGGATGCCATATCTACTCCTCTGCCTCAACTTCTCTCCTTGCCCATCTTGACACAATCCATCACTGTGGTCTTCGCTTAGCACTAGGCGCCTTCCGCTCCTCTCCAGTTGAGAGCCTGTATACTGAATCAGGCATACCATCTCTATATCGACGTCGTGCCCTGCTCTCACTCCGATGTTATGTTCGTTTCCACCAACTTCCCCTCACTAAACTAACTATCCCACAATCTCTACTTCCTACCTTAGCTTCATCTCCACGCTTACCTACTCCTTTCTCTTCCCCCCTCACAAGAAATCCTGTACCTCACAAAACTCCCCAACCAACTCCATTGAAGAAACTCTTGAAAATATTCAAGACTACTTAATGAAAACTGACACTCATCAACCTTCAAATCCTACAACTCCTGCTCCCTCCACACACCAAGTGACGATATCCATCCTCCTCCTAACGATATCCCCCTACACCCTATCCTCCTACCCCCTCCCAACACAGTCCATCCCCCCTGACTCTAGCCCCGCCCACATTAACCCTCCCACCATCCCCTCTATCCCTTCCACTCCCTCCTGGACACACGTGAATCCCTTATATCACAAGTATCCCCTTGTGGTACATATGAAGTAGGAGAAAGGAGAACTGGAAAGTGGTCACTATGGGGAAAGTGGTCTAGAACTGACCAGTGGAAATCTAAATGAAGAGAAGGGGAGCATAGAGAGAGGTCAATGCATGAAAAAAAATTGCATGCGTGTATCAAAGTGTGTGGGGCGATCTGAATTTAGAATAATTTAGATAAGGTCAGTTTACTTCATATGTACCACTTCCTAATTCCCCACGCTGGTGCTTTGATAGAGCCGACTGGCGTACTTTCACTTCACTCTCTGCGATTCATATCCCTCCATCCTCTCTCTCATTCATTTCAGAAATGATACAGTGTTTCACAACTGCAGTCTTAAGAGCTGCCCATACAGCTATCCCTCGAACCTCAAGACCCTATACCTCCAAATGTGTTCCATGGTGGCATTCTGATTGCACTAAAGCACTTCACTTAAAACGTGCAGCCTGGAACAGTTACCGCTACAAATTAGGTACCCCAAATCAACTATCAGCCCTTATCTCCTTTAAAAGAGCATCTGCCTGTCTTCGTCATACAATCCGGAATAGTAAAACAAATAGCTGGCGAAATTATGTTTCATCAATTACATCCTCTACATCTATCTCAAATGTATGGCGCCGAATCCATAAACT